TGTAGTGTTTCAGTCAAGACCAAATAGTGGTTTTGGAAAGCCCTGTGGCAATGGAGACGTTGAAAATGAAATGGATTTAGGACATGTTAGAAGGTAGAATGCTGGAACTGAAGATAAGGAAGAGATATGTGTGAAAGATTATTGTTGGGAACTTAATTTGCACAGTGACTGGATGGTGATGCTACTGATTAAGTCAGGAAATAATAAAAGTTCAGGTACATTGAAGTTGAAATCACGATCTTGAGGTTATACATGTTGAATTTGTATTTCTATTTTGATATTCACAGTATCAAGTAGAAAGTTGGACTCGCAGGTTTGGGATGGAGATATAAAATTAGGATTCATCGGCATATATTGTGCATTTGGAGTTACAGGTAAACTGATATCAAAGGTAAGGAAAATAATATTTGAGTATCTATACCCAGTTAAAACATTGCTAACATGGAATAGAATGGCTTCTCAATCAATTTTTGTAGGCATAATCTCATTCAGGACTTCCTTTACATACCAACCTGTATCACGGCATGACCCTTATCCTTATTTAGTCACTTGTATCCAATTTAAGTACTTTATATCAGTTGGTGAGAAATGCCCTAAATTAAGGAAAAGATCAATTCTTTATTCAGAGCACATATTTACATCCATAGCTATTAGTAGTAGGAATCCAGTATTGGCTTTTTCTTAGAATGAGCCCTTTCACAAACTGAGGATCTACTAGAATACTGTATACTGTAAAATTATTCCAGTACATTATTACCAAATTAATATTTACCTATAGATTGGTAAGAGAATACGGATTTCTATACATGGACAAATAGTCAACCTTAATAAAAATCAATCATCCTTGTGTGTACTAGTTTGTAGCAATGGTGAATCTGTGCTTGCACAAAAAACCAGCAACAGCATGACTACCACATTGCCATTATAAAGTTAAATAAGGGAAAGGAGAGAATGCAGTTAAGATTTAAGAGAAATGTATTAGGTGCTTATAATCTGCCAGATGCTGTTCCCAATGATGTGGTGGTATGTGTGTGTGTGTCTCTGTGTGTGTGTGTGTATTCAATCTTACTTAATCATTAAAGTGACCACATGGCATGGATGCTACTATTATTCACATTTTACAAATAAAGGAATAAAGGCAAGGTGAATATAATACCCAGCCCTGTTACAAAGCCATCAAGCTATAGAAATACAACTCAAATAATGTTATCTGACTCTAGAGCATGCTCTCTTTAACCACTACATTGTAGTGCCTCCCATAAAATGTAATCAACACTGAATCTACCCTCTCATAAAACAAAGCCCACCCAAGTTGGGGCTCTGACACATTTCTTTCTCTTAGGAAGACAAAAAGGTATGCTATAAACAAAAGGTCATTGATTCAGAGTTGCCTCCTTCTTTGTAATTCAGTTTCTAGTAAGAATAATAATGTGATAAATTTTTTTTTTACTCCATTCCATTCAACAGAATATGCCTTTGGTAGTGTCTTTGTAAGAGGAAGCATAGTTTGCTGAGTCATCTCTACCAGTTTCTGCATCATGAGACTTGGAAGACTATCTGACTACAAAACAGATTCACAGCAGCTTATCTTAGGAGACTGACAAGGTCACAGCTTGAAATGGTACAACTGTATTATAATTAGAGATTAAGTGAAAATTTATTCAATTTAATCATTCAAGACTAGTTTGCCTTGTGTCTGTTATAAATAACATGGTATCATTACCATATATTAATTTAAAACAAGGTTTATTAACTATATTTCATTTTTTAGTGTCTTACATTTATACTTTTTGATAAAGATAATACAATAGTTACACATACAAATGTAAAGAAGATATCACAAAATATATTTTTTAAATTTTTTAGTTATGAATGGACATAATGATTTTATTTAGTTTACTTATTTTTATGTGGTGCTGAGGATCGAACCCAGTGCCTCATATATGTGAAGCAAGCCCTCTACCACAGAGCCACAACCCCAGCCCAATCACAAAATATCTTTAAACACCTAATGGAGACCCTGACTTTCAGTAGGCTAATGTGGAGGTCTGGGAATATAGCTCAGTGGTAGAGCACTTTCCTAGCATGTGCATGCAAGTCCCTGGGTTCCATACCCAGCACCAAGACCAAAAGAAAGAAAGAAAGAAAGAAAGAGGCTATGCAAATACCTAAAATTTTCATTCACTGCTTCAACAATAAATGTTTATGACTCTATATATTTGGAGTGTGTTTTATTAAAAATGGAAGCAATCAGATAAAAATAAAAATTCAAAATTAAAAGTTGATATTAACATCTATGCATCTCTGAGCATTACTTGCTTCTGTTCTGGAAGTTGTTTGTATGTCTTTCAGTAAAGCACTCATAGATTTTTGAAACTGTAAATGCAAATAAAAAGTATTTCAGATATAATATTCTAGATGAAATTAATATACCTCATTTATCAATATAAACAATCATCTGAACATTGAATTATACCTAAATACATTATTATACCTAAACAGTGTATATTTATGTAGCAAAAGAGTAAGATGACATGATACCAGGACTACAGATAGGTGTTATTTTTACCAAAGATTAAAAAATACACTAGATGTGAATATAGATCTTATAAATATTAATTGAAAAGAATCTGTAAACAAAACAAAAGTTTCAGAATCATATTTTGCCTTAAAATATCATATGAAGCATGTACATAAGTTGCATTTACTATTCATTCATTTTAGAAATTGTAGCTTTCAACAGCACACAAAACATAACATCTGTTAAGTTTCCATGATAGGTGAGATTACATGGTTTTAAAGAATAATAAACAGAAAAAAATATTTGTCAAATAACATATGGTGGTAGTCATTTGCAAAAATGTTGAAGTCACACAGGGATTTATATCTTGACTTTATTATTTATTAGCTGTGTAATGGGGGGAGTCATTAACCCTTTCTGAGCTTCAGTTCTCTCATTTTACATTATCACAATAAAAATAAAGCCTACCTTATAAAGTTATTGTGAGGCTGAAAGTTAAAGCATTTAGCATTTGAAGTGTTTATTTAGTACAGCAACTCTAGAGACCATGACACCTATAGGCTCTCTATAATAATAGCTGATGATGTAAGCATCATTTACGTTTACAAATAAAAGGGTGTGCATCTGGGTAGAGTACACACACAGATAGCCAAATAGGTAATAGTCCCCAAATTTTCAGCCATTTCTTCTATTACCACATCAAAAACTATGCATGGGGTCTCATATAATATCAGGTTTTTTAATGTTAGAATTTAAATACAGAAGGAAATCTTAGTTAAGTAAAGTTAAAGGACTTTCTGGTCAGTTAATCTCCATTAATAACATCTCAACGAAGTAGTCTGCAATTTTTTCCCTGCTAGGTAGCAACCTATTCACTATCTGCACACTCTTCTTGAAAAGGCATCATACCTGTGGAGGAATGTTGAGGGAGTGACACCCGAATAACAGCTGGATTAGAGTGATGTGACAGACCTGTGGATTTTGTACTTGAAGTCTGTGCACTTGAGGTTACTTGGCAAAAATGGAGATAGCTAGCGACAGGGGAAAGAGCAACAACAAAATAGCTTTCATAAATAACTTTTATTAAAAAATATTTATTTATTTCCTTTTTTAGTTGTAGTTGGACACAATACCTTTATTTTATTTATTTATTTGTTTTTATGTGGTTTTGAGGATCCAACTCAGGGTCTTGCACATCCTAGGCCAAAGCTCTACCACTAAGACAGAACCCCTGCCCACATAATCATCTTTTATTGTTGAGAAAAATTAATTCACTCCACAGCCCCATGCCCCACACCCATCACATTCATCCACGGCAACACGTTTTTCTGGAGGGAGAATTAGGCTTATATAAATTAGGTACCAGCCCACAGCCTTCCAGTGCTTTATACAAATCAAGGTAGCTTAACTCCTGCATCTGAATTCTTGGAGGGGTGTCCAAATGTAGACTCCACTGTGCAAACCTGGTTTGCCCTGGTTTGGTCCTGCTATCAGATTGGCTTTACAGAACTTGCAGAACAGATATGGACCATCTGACTCCTAAAACTGCAAACCCCATGCTCTGAATATCTTCACCTCACCATTGTGCCCATGTTTTTTCTCTGGAAGTTCTTAGTCACCATCTGTGACTGAGGATAGCTATTCCCTGTGAATACCCAGGGAACTGCCCCAAAGCCCCAGAGAGCCTTCCAGAGGACGGAGCTCTCCCTGGACTCCTGCGACTACTTTGTGGGCTGAACTTATCCTGCTTGAAGAAGGAGGAAGGTATGTTTCTCTTGGACCTCTTTTCCCTCCAGCTCAGCTCTGAGGTTCAAAAACACCACAGAGGAATATCTTTCCCTTTACCCCTCCCACATTCCCGCCTACAGATCCACCCACCCTCAGCATTGCAGCCTTCTAAGTTCTCAAGGATGCCTCAGACCAAAGGTTTCCTATCCCACCCTGGATGGAAATGCAGTCTATATTTGGAAGACATCCCTCAAGGATTCAGATGCATGAGTTCAGCGACCTTGATTTGAGAAGAAGAAAAAAATATATATTTGGTTGAAATTATTTAAGACACCACTAGCAGAAGTGCTGAGGAAGGAGGAAAAGCAGAAAGGAACTAGCAGGAAAGGGATGTCCCTTCCACTTTCAAACACTCCCGTTCTTTACCAAGTGCAATCTGATCCAAGGGTCTCCTAAAATTACATCAGGGGCACATTTGTTTCTTCACACAGATCACATTTAAGGCTTCTAGTCCGGTGCTTGATTGTATTTTAGGCTTCAGATTTATTCAAGTAGGAATTTTAAGGCTAGTTGGCTGATATTATCAGGGTAGTGAAACTCCAGGTTTTGGACTGGGGCGTCCTGGAGCGGGGCCTCTAAGAATCTTCCCGCCTCCCCAGCTCCATTCCTTCTTCCTTCTCCGCCCCCTCCCCACCCCCACCCCGCTGGGCGAGCTTTACCCCGCAACCCACGCCCTCCCGCCCCTCCCACTGCCACGGCCTCTTAGACTTAAGCCCCGCGCAGAGTCCTTGCCCAAGCTGACTTCGCTGTCACCTCCCAGACGACCGCACTTCCCGCCCTCGCCTAGATCCGTGCCACCCTAGCAGCCGCTGTCGCCCGCGCACCGCTCCCTCCCTCCGCGCATTCCTTGCTGGGCTCCTGGCTGTCGCCTTCTTTGCTGACAACCCATCCCAGACTCGGTAGGCTCACCGCCCAGCGGTCGCCCCAGCCTCTTGGCACTTGAGACCCTGCGCTCCAGCTTACGCGGAGACGCTGCCATTCCCGCCGTTGCCGCCGCTGCAGCCAACACTGGTGCCACGCGCCGCCGCCTTTGCCGTGCCGCTGCCACAACCTCAGCTGTCTGCCCGCCTGCCACCATGGCCCCACAGCAAACAGGTAGCAGGAAAAGGAAAGCGTCCGCGCTCGAGGCTGGAGCGGGGAGCTCGTCGTCCCAGGGCTTAATGTCGGCGGGGCACGGAGAGGGGCCGCTGCTGCCCAAGAAGCAGAAGCGGCCAGCCACACTTCGATCGCTGGTGCACTACCTAAAGGGCCGCACGGTGGGCGCGTGGGGTCGCGCCTGGCTCCCGGGCTTCGAGGGCAAGCTACGTGACTACGCGGTGCAGAGGCTTCCCGAGCTACTGACTGAGCGCCTGCTGGCACTGGGCACCCTCAACAAGGTTTTCGCTTCTCAGTGGCTGAACGCCACGCAGGTGGTGTGTGGCACTAAGTGTAACACGCTTTTTGTGGTGGACGTGCAGTCTGGCCAAATCAATCGCATCCCCCTGATGCGGGACCGGATGCCTGCCCTGACCCGGGATCAGCCAACCTGCGGCATCCATGCCATTGAATTAAATCCCTCCAAGACACTTCTGGCCACCGGGGGCGAAAATCCCAACAGTCTGGCTGTCTACCAGCTGCCCACCTTGGACCCCGTTTGCCTGGGTGACCGCCATGGGCACAGGGATTGGATCTTTGCCATTGCCTGGATGAGTGACACCGTGGCTGTGAGTGGCTCCCGTGATGGCACCATGGCATTGTGGCGCGTGGACCCTGACAAGTTTATTGGCAGCAGTACCTGGCACAACGATGCGTCTCTTCCCTTGTACACCCACATTCATCCAAAGGACATAGAGTCCATCCCCAGGGCCAGCAGCAACCCCAGTAACCGCAAAGTGCGAGCCCTGGCCTTCAGCGGCAAGAACCAGGAACTGGGAGCAGTGTCCCTGGATGGCTATTTCCACCTGTGGAAAGCACGAAGCCACCTATCCAGGCTGCTGTCTATCAGGCTGCCCTACTGCCGAGAAAACGTGTGCCTGACCTACTGTGATGAATTGTCCCTGTACGCGGTGGGCTCCCAGTCTCACGTCTCCTTCCTGGATCCCCGCCATCGCCAGCAGAACATTCGGCCCTTGTGCTCCAGAGAGGGCGGTACAGGTGTGCGCTCCTTGAGCTTCTACCAGCACATAGTCACTGTGGGCACAGGCCATGGCTCCCTACTCTTCTATGACATCCGTGCCCAGAAGTTCCTGGAAGAGAGGGCCTCAGCCAGCCTGGACTCTTTTCTGGGACCCACAGGGAGGAAGCTCAAACTCACCTGTGGCAGAGGCTGGCTCAACCGTGATGAACTCTGGGTGAATTACTTTGGTGGTGTGGAGGAGTTCCCCAATGCCCTCTACACTCACTGCTACAACTGGCCTGAGATGAAGCTTTTTGTAGCTGGGGGACCTCTCCCTTCAGGCCTCCATGGGCATTATGCAGGCCTCTGGAGTTAAGAATGGTCACCTTGTCCTGAAAATGGGCATATGTACATTTGAGCTCTGTTTAATTTTCTTAATTTTGTATTTGTCCTGGTAACTCTACCCTTTGTCTTCCAGGTGGACCTGAATTAACTTACCTGTGCTTTGTGCATTAGACAGAGAGAAAGAAAGAGCACAAAATTGGTGGTTTGGGCACTCAAATTTTGGCTTTAAGACTTTTCTGCACCTTGCCTAAAGCATTACTTTCTGCTTTCTCATACAAGGCTAAACTTTGTTTTCTTTTGCTGAGTGATTTACATATTTTTCTTTAGGCTAATGTAGTCATTACTCTCAATACCATTTGGTACATTAGTTTTACCAGTATTTCCATAACATATTCAGACCTTTACACATTTTCAGATGTATAGTATTTTGGGAAAATGTGCGTTAAAAATGTGTCTTTTGGCTGGGCTGAAGATATAGACTTACTCCAATTGGAAAATGCAGCTGAAGTTCTAGATTGCCACCATTGTGAGCATATTTTATTGGGATGTTGTTAACTCAGTATTTGTTGATTGTATTTCATTGGTGCATAAAATGATTTTTAAAAATGTATTATCTTAGTTAAGGAATATTACAATACTGTTTGGTATTAGTCAAAAATTTTGATTATTCAGTAAAAGTTGAGCATCACCACCCCAAACCCTCAGACTTCATTAAAGCTGCTTTCTGTTTACCTTCCTGGGTGGCATTTATGCTATGGCTTTTCAGAGCTACTCAAAACTGGCTTATGTGTGGCAGAACAATCAGGTATTTTAAAAGATAAACATTTTGTAGTATTCAGTTAACACCATCAAGGTAGCCATTTACAGTGAAAGACCAGAAGATGTGCTCAAGAGTAGATGTTTACATTTTTGTGTTAAGTACATGGATAATTCTTTGGTCTGAATCAATTATGAGTATGTGATGTATTGCAAAAAAAAAAACCAAATAAAATGTGTTCAGCATCTTAGTAACTATGTGTGACTTAAATTTTTGAATGGTTAAATGTACACTTTTTGAATTTCCTACTAGGAATGTATTTACCAGAGTCAAAATTTTCCAAGAGAAAAGCTGAAGCTTGAACATCAGCTCTGCATACATTATTTTGTACATTTGGTTTTGAAAAAGAAACATGTTTATAAGTTAAAAGATTAAATAATATTTTGAATAATTAATACAGTTGGTATAATTTAGGATGGCTAGGTGCATTTTTATTTACACTAAAGTATGTGTACTTTTAAGTACTTATATATATGTTTACTTCCAATGTAAGTAGGAGGCATAAATGTATACCATTTTACATATGAAGCTGTTTCTCATGTTTTGAAGTACATCTATCAAGTCTTACAATTTTGGTTTTTATTTGTGTTTTTTTAATATCAATTTAAAATGGTGTATGCACATGATCAAAATATCATAATGTATAAAAAATGCACAATAAAAATCAAGTGTCACAACTTGGGATCCCTAGTCTCTTGCCATAAGTCACCACCAGTATATTTTTGTGTGTAACTATTTAGACTAAGTCTATATATATCTCTTAAGTATGTTTGTATGTAATTTGCATACAAATTATAACATGAACTGTACATAGCTATGCTTTTTTAATCACAAAATTTTAGAAATTGCTTCCTCCATGGATGTACCTAATGATTTATTTTATAGAATTCTGCTATATGGTTGGAATATATTCACTATACCTTTGATTAGCAATGTTATTGGTATTTTTTTGTTGCCATATTCTTCAGTGGTTACTTTGAAAGTACATCTTGTGCACTTGTGTTAAGTCTACCTGCAGGATAAATTTCTAGAAATGGAATTACTATGTCAAGGAGTTAAGTTCATGTTATAGCTAATAGCCATTACCAAATTACAAAAATTTTACTACCAATTTATCTTCACATAAATAATGTATACAGGCCTGAGTGACCACAACCTTGCCAACAATATGTCATTAAATTCTGTGTTGATTGCCAATCAAATATCCATCTGATTTGGATCCTTTCATTTAAACCACTGAGGCTAGATCATTAGATTTGTGATATGAGTAATACATAGGTTCTGAGACAGAGATTAAAAAAATGAGGATGTAAGGGCAAGTATTTAAAATATTGCTGGATTGAAGAAAGAGAGCACTTAGAGATTAGGCTCAAATATATGGAGATGCATCACATAAGACTACTTTCTATTAGATACTTACCTGGACCTTGTTAAGGTTTCTTGGCCTGTTGCACTCTGGTTTAAGTCACATGAAATGCATCAGATGTCATTGAAGAAAATCTGACAAAGAGATGAAAATCTGAACTGAATTATTGGAGGTGCGTGTTCAGAGGAGGAAAGTTAATAGAAAAATGGGGGGAAGTAAACAAATAGTATTTGGTATTTCATATGAAGAGTAAAGAATAAGAAAGAATTTAAATGAAAATTCAGGCTCAGGCTCAAATATAAATAGTGACAATCAATAAATATAGAAAAAAAACAGGCATAGAGGACACTGGTGGAAGGTGATCATTTCAACTTGGGACATGTTGAATTTAAGCTGCCTATGTGACATTAGGAGAATATACTCAGTGAAGAATTTGCTGTATATCTCACTAATAGGAAGGTAATTTGGGAGACTATTAGGGGAAAACAGAGCAGCTAGCAAGGATACTAAAAAGCTTTGGGGACAAAAAGGTAGAGAAAGAAAATAAAACAGGTTTGTTATAACCAAATGTCAATATCTTAAAATCCCTGGGCGACAAAATAACTCTTCAATCATACTTACAATGGTTTTGATTTTCTCCCCCCCCCCCAATTTTCCTTAAATGCTTGCATATGACCACTTAGGACTGCTCAAATTGGTACACTAATTAGACTTTCTCATTGCTCAGCTGTTCATATTTTCTTGGAGAAGTGAAAAGTTAGACCCAGCTCAAAAAGAACTTCAGGGCTAATATTTCTGGATCATTTATCCTAATATTCTAAGATGTTTTCTGTACTACCAACACCCTGCTGGAACCAGCATTCCTTGAAGCCATGCCAAAGCCCTGGCAGTTTCATAGAGGTGCAACGTCACCTCATCACCTGGTGCTACTACCCTATGTTTGAATTCCCAGCTCAATGCCTCATATACAGGTCTCTGAAAAATTTCCCAAGTTGTGAAAGAACAAAGGAGGTATTAAGGGGAGGATGCTCCTTTCCTCAGCATTGTAATTTTAATAAATGCAAATACAAATAATTAGAAATGAAAAAATGTAGTAATCTCAGTTTTATTTATTAGGAAGTTTAATGTAAAATCTGAAAAGAAAAAATTAGAAAATAAAATTTCCCATGAAGATATAAACTGGATTGAACCATTGACCCTAGAAAATGTTGAAATTATGATTCTTAAATCTGTGTTTTCATCCTAGTTATTACATGCAGAAACATATAAAAAGACATGCAGGCTTGATTGTCTCAGGAGTTTATTGTTTCACATTTTCAAGGAATATTTAATTCTGAATTGCTTTGTAGCATACAACAGAAAATGTTTACTCTTTTCTGTAGAAAACCAGCATAATATTATCCAAATTGGCTGAATTACACAAACTAAAAAGAGATCAATTTTTACATAGCTAAGTAGATGTAACTTGCCCTTTAAAAATATTGAATTTGGCTAGGCACAGTGGCACATGCCTGTAATTTCAGCAGCTGAGGAGATTGAGGTAGGAAGATCCTGAGTTTAAAGCCAGCTTCAGCAATTTAGTGAGGCCCTAAGAAAATCAGTGAGACCCTGACTCTAAATAGAATGTAACAAAGGGCTGGGAATGTGGCTCAGTGGTTAAGTGCTTACCGCAGTCTGGCTGGGCACAAATAACCGAGCTGTAAATTCAAACAGCAACTCTTTATTCCCCAACTCTCACCAGTACTGCACACACCACACACTCCCTCCACCAGGCTCCATCCAATCTCTCCAGAACCCCCAAGTAGCAGGTGCCCCCCATTGCCCAACAGTAAAGGTCAAATATACAATACAATCAATCCAACATCACAGCAATTATATATAGCTTAACTCAAATCATCATCTCAATGGTTCACTGGCTTCATCTTTTAACCATTCTCTCTGGCAAACGCCAGGCATCATCCTGACTGGGCCAGGCTCTCAACAAGTGCTCCTGGATTCAATCTTGTTACCAAAAAAGAGAACAAAACACCGAATTTGATCAGTGCATTAAAAGGAACCTATACCATGGAAATGTTAAAGCTAGTCTCTTGAATATAAGGAGAATTAACTCTTGAGAAATCTTGCATTAAAATATATTGTTTACAAGCCATATGAGAAGATCATATATTCATGAATAATCTGTGAGGAAGTAGAAAGTATGAATTTTAAGAGTATGTGTGTAAATGTGTGTGTATGGGTAAATGTATGTATTTCAAACCTCCACCAGAATCCTTAACATCAGAGAAATTTTTTTCAAAATAAGGAATAAAACAAGGACTCCCCAAATCACCCAGCACTTAATATTGTTTTTAAAATTCTTGCTATAACAATTAGTAAATATATCAAAATATTAGATCTAAGTAAGGGAAAATAGAAAGTAGTTATAATTATTTTAAAATGCTATGACTATAAAAACTCCAAAAAACGCAACTAAAATAATCATTAGAAACAACAAAATAGTGAGATGTTCCATTTTGAAATTAACATATTAAATACTGATCTGATACATTTCTATTTTTATTTCTTTACTCATTCAGCATATAATTTAGTGAGTGTGTGCCGTATATCAGGTACTGTTCTAGGCATCAAAGATAGTGCAGTGATAAAACAAGCAAACCATGCCTTCAACCAACTTACATTCTGATCTTCAGGGTAGACAATAAACAGATAAACTAGTAAATGCATAAGATATTAGATGTTTGCTAATGCTAATTTATAAAATAAAATAAATAGGGGACAAAAATTCAAATTCCATTTGAAATAAACTGGTTAGTGAAAGTCAAGTAGATAAGTTGACATTTGAGTTTATATCTAAAAGAAGTGACAGAATAAGCCACACAGCAATGCCAGAGAAGAGGGTTTCTGGCAAAGGTAACAGCCGAGTGTACAACTTGAGGTGGAATCATGCTTGGTATGTTAGAAAAGCAGAAAAGAGAAGAGTGTGGTTGGAGCAAAGTAAATAAAAAAGAGAAAGCTAGAAAGACACATCATGTAGTCCTATAGTCCAGTATAAGAAACTTGGACTTTAATTTAAATGAGATGAAAGTCTAGTGAGAGTTCTGGCTATGTGCAAAACTAATCAGCTTAAGAAATTCAGTAGATTGTCTGATCAAAATGACAATTACCCATTTCGTAGGATTTTTCTGGAAGTGTCAGTAAAGTATATTTAAATAAAATAACTCCACATTAGTCATATAAATAAAAAGTGCTATTATCATATCAGAAATGTTGACAGTGTTCTGAAAAGAAACAGAAAAAAAACCCAGTGTCTCTGACAAAGCTGAGAAAAGTTGTTGCCACAAAACTAAGATATAACAGTATGACTGTTACTTTTAGATGGAAGCCAGTGTTCATAAAGAATGTTCTTCAAATCCTCCAGGCTATGCTTTGGCACACATTGAATGCAGGAGTGATTTTTGAAGTAGCAAGCAACAATGGAAGAGTGCCCACAAATGGGCTCAAGTAGTTAAACACTTCCCCAAACAATGGAATATTATGCTGTTGTTAAAATACTGAAAATAGTTCTTTGTGTAACTAATGTGGAACAGTGTCCTTGATATTTTTAGGTGAAGTTAGTAAATTGCAAATATGTGAATTACAATTCCATTTTTCTTTGAAAAGTGGAGGAGCAGGAAATGAAAACTCATACAGTATATAAAAGAATATATACAAATATGTTAACAGTGCATTTCAGCATTTCTCTAAGGGGTTGCATAATAGTGGATTTCCTTAACATTTTATAAAGTTTTTTTTGGGGGGGGAGAGTACAAGGTATTGAACTCAGGGCATTCGACCACTGAGCCACATCCCCAGCCTCTAAATAGACAGAGTCTCACTAAGTTGCTTAGCACCTCACCATTGCTTAGGCTGGCTTTGAATTCATGATTCCCCTGCCTCAGCCTCCTGAGCTGCTGGGATTAGTATTTTATATGTTTTATGTAATGTTTAAACAGTCATTAGTAACTAATATTTCTTTCATTAACTGAAGTGGAAAATTCAATGAAGGTACAATTTGGTTTTTTTTTGGGGGGGGTATACTGGATTGAACTCAGGGGCACTTGACAACTGAGCCACACCCCTGACTTTTTTTGCATTTGATTTAGAGACAGGGTCTCACTGAGTTGCTTACTGCCTGGCTAAATTGCTGAGGCTGGCTTCGAACTCATGATCCTCTTGCCTCAGCCTCCCCAGCTGCTGGGATTACAAACAAGAGCCACCATATCAGACTGAAGTTTCATTTTTATCTATCTATCTATCTATCTATCTATCTAT